TAAGGCAAGTGCCACCATATTTGGCTTTTTTTTCCCCTTTCTTTTTTTTCTCTTTCTTTCTTTGTTTCTTTTTTCTTTCTCTTTCTTGCTTTTTGACAGTACTAAGTGCAAGGTCCATTCCTGGACGGCGAACAGACCTCGCCCAGTATCTGCGTTACCTAGGCAACTGGGACACCTGGAAGAGGTCACATCTGCATCCGTTGAGGTCACATCTTAACCTGATGTGGCCACACCTTTCTCCCACCTGATCCCACTTCCCATTACCTGGACACACCCTTCCCTGCCCCCTACCCTATATAGGGCCTAACCGGGGGCCAGACGCTCTTTTTTTTTTTTTTTTTTGCCAGCCACGTGGAGTGCCAACCTTGCCTGGTCCCAGCAGGTCTACTGAATAAACCTACCCCTTACCTGAATACCACGTGCGTGGTGCAGTTCTTACTCGGCTACCTCTTTTAAAAACCTAACACTAAGGTTTGAACTCCGATCCTTGTGCCTGCCAGGCAGGAGATACACCACTTGACCCATACCTCCCAGATTGATCTATTTTTCATTATTTTCAAACAGGGCCTGTTTTCTCACCTTGGATAGCTTGGACTACAATTTATTTATGCTTCTTGCCTTTCCTGGGGGCAGCTATCTCATCCAGCTTCCCTCCAAGGAGACAAAGTCTCCAACTCCAGGCTGCCCTGGAATGGCAATCCTCCCAATTCTCAGCCTCCACATAGCTTGGAGTGACAGTACACACCACTCTAGCCAGCTATAGGTTCAGGGGGGTCTCACAAGCTCTTCTTCCATGGCTAATCTGTGATCTTCCTGTTCCCAGACTCTAGGTAGCAGGTGTATGCCACACAAGTACCCTAGCTCTTTGTATTTTTAAAGTTTTTAAATTAAATTTATATGTGCTTGGCTCAAAAAAAGCATAAAAGCCGGGCACCAGTGGCTCACTCCTGTAATGCTAGCTACTCAGGAGGCTGAGAGCTGAGGATCACGGTTCAAAGCCAGCCTGGGCAGGAAAGTCCATGAGACTCTTATCTCCAATAAAACACTAGAAAACTAGAAATGGCGCTGTGGCTCAAGTGGTAGAGCGCTCGCCTTGAGCTGAAGGGTGCAGGGACAGCGCCCAAGCCCAGAGTTCAAGCCCCACAACCAACCAAAAAAAAGCATAAAAATTGTATCTATTAATGGGAAAAGATGTAGTCAGACTTGAAGTTTCTTTGGTTTTCAGTACTTACTGAGGATTGAACTTGTTAGTCAAGGGCTTTAATACTTGAGTCACACTTCCAATCCTTTTGCTTACAGTTTGTCTTTCAGATAGAGTTTCAAAATTTTGGTTGGCCAGCCTAAGACCTTGATTTCCCTATCTCTACCTCATAGGTAGATGGGATTACCAAATATGTCACTGCTATGCCTGGCTCTGGAAGGTTCTTAAAAGTTAAATGTTCTGTTTGCCTAGCAAGCAAAAGGCCCTATACTGCTATTCCCAGCATAGAAAAAAAACCAATAACCTTAGAATAATCCATCCAGGTTGGGAATGTGTCTTAGTGGAGAATGCTTGCATGCTGATTCCTCAGTACCACAGAAACAAAAAAAGCCAGGGCTGGGAAGGTGGCTCAGGGGTAGAGTGCTTGCCTTGCATGCATGAGGCCCTGGGTTCGATTCCTCAGCACCACATAACCAGAAAAAGTTAGAACTGGTGCTGTGGCTCAAGTGGTAGTGTGCTAGCCTTGAGCTGAAGAGCTGAGGGACAGCGCCCAGGCCCAGAGTTCAGGCCCCATGATCGATCAAAAGAAAAAAGAAAAAAAAGAAAAAAGAAAAAAAAGAAAAAAGAAAAGAAACAGAAAAAGCCAGAAGTGGCACTGTGGCTCAAGTGGTAAAGTGCTAGCCTTGGGCAAAAGAAGCTCAGGGACAGTATTCAGGCCTTGAGTTCAAGCCCAGGACTGCAAACAAACAACAACAAAATCCATCAAGAAGAAAATGGGTAGAAGAAAATGGGTATAAAGACTAAGGCAGCCGGGTGCCAGTGGCTCACACCTGTAATCCTAGCTACTCAGGAGGCTGAGATCTGAGGATCACGGTTCAAAGCCAGCCCGGGCAGGAAAGTCTGTGAAACTCTTATCTCCAATAAGCCACCAGAAAACTGGAAGTGGCACTGTAGCTCGAGTGGTAGAGTGCTAGCCTTGAGCTGAAGAGCTGAGGGACAGCGCTCAGGCCCAGAGTTCAAGCCCCATGACCGACAAAAAAAAAAAAAAAGACTAAGCAAATGCAACAAGGATGAACCCCAAAATAAGTGAACTAAATGAAAGAAGCCAGACTCCAAAATGGCATATTATTTTCCTTCTTCCTTTTCATTTTTCTTGTGCTGGTCCTGGGGCTTGAACTCAGGACCTGTGCAATGACCTTTAGCTCTTTTGCTCAAGGCTAGGTTCTACCATTTGAGTCTCAGCTCCATTTCTGGCTTTCTTTTTTTTTTTAACGTGGTTAACTGGAAATAAGAATCTCAAGACTTTCTTTCTTGTGCTGGATTTAAACCTCAATTCCCAGACTTAAGCCTCCTGAGTAGCTATGATCACAGGCAATAACCATCCGTTGCCCAGCTTTGATTTTCAGTTATACAAAATGGTAGGTACTGCCAACACAGGTATAGTGACAGAAAGCAACACTGCCTGTTACCTGAAGAAGGGTATAGTGGGAGCAATGAAGAGATTCCTAAAAAGTAGAAGAAAACTTTTGGAAACCAGGTGCTAGTGTCTCACTCCTGTAATCCTAGCTGCTTAGATGGCTAAGATCTGAGAATGTATCTTGAAGCTAGCCTAGGCACGAGTCCATGAGACTCTTATGTCCAATTAAGCATCAAAAAAATCAGAAGTGGAGCTGTGGCTCAAGTGGTAGAGTGCTAGTCTTTTTTTTTTGGGGGGGGGGGGAGGGGCCGGTCATGGGGCCTGAACTCTGGGCTGGGTGCTGTCCCTCAGCTCTTCAGCTCAAGGCTAGCACTCTACCACTTGAGCCACAGCACCACTTCCAGCTTTTTTCTTTTTGCTTATGTGGTGCTGAGGAATCAAACCCAGGGCCTCAGGCATGCAAGGCAAGCACTCTACCACTGAGCCACCTTCCCAGCCCCAGAGTGCTAGTCTTGAGCAAAAAAACTCAGGGATAGTATCCAGTGTCAAGGCCCTGATTTTAAGCTCCAGGACTGGCAGAGAGAGAGAGAGAAAGATTTGGAAAAAGTATGTTTCCTATCATAACTGGTGATTTCACACATATACACACACTTGTATGTTAAAGTCATTAAACTGTATATTTTAAGCATCCTCAACCTACCATGTCATTATTCCCGAGTAAAACATACCAAAAACAAAAGGCAAAATAAACACATAAAAAAAACACTTTATATTCCAGAATAAGCACAGAGCAAGGAAGTAATCTTGGGCTTAGGGGTCAGAGGAAAATATCTTGAGAACCTTGATCCTTTCTCCTCAAGGAGCCAGGGCTCCTGGGGAGGTGGCAGCCAGGCTGGTAATAAGGGTCTGAGTGAATCCTCTGCACTGAGGGCACTGTAGGGAATGCCATGGCCACACACAAGGAAACTGAGGCCCAGACATGTTATCCTGCCTAAGTTACAATAGCTAGTAAAAAGTATCACCAGGAAAAATCATACGCTTGATGCCAAAGCCTTTCTCCTGATCGTCCGTAAATTCACAAAAGGAGACCTAAAATTTAGTTGGTGAAGATGGGTGCTTGAGAGTTATGCTTTTGAACAAGCAATCCTCTCAAATGAAGTCACAGCCAGAATAAAAAGCTCTTCTGGTCATATGAACAAAGTCAGGCACCACAGACACAGCAACTGAACTTCCGGTACACTAGAGTGTTTGGGAGGCAGGTATCAGGCACGAGATGAAGCTGACAGACGGGTTTAAGTTAGGTTTGCACTACAGAGCAGGCTAACCGGCTCCTCCAGCAGTCCCAGCCACCACAGCCACTCCCTCTGCCCCCACAGGAGAGTGCTATCTCCACCCAGTGTGGTTCAGGGCAGGGGTATAGGGACTATCTGACCCAATTCAGAGATAAGTCCCAGCTAAGGCTACAGATAAAGATGGATACAGATGGCCACTCTGTATCCATCCATCCCTATCAGAAGAAGGCTAGAGCAGCAAGAGTACTGACAGTGCCAGACAGAGCTGAACAACCCTGGGAAGATGAAGCCTGTAAACTGTCAACCAAGCCCCCTGGGCCAGGTAAGGAAGTTTAGTACCCAGTCTGAAGAGAGTTCACGACAAAGCCCCTTTTAAGTCCCACCCAGAGGCTAGGCCAGAAAGCTTGTTGGGTACAGAACTCCTAATATACACAGCTGCCCCTTTGCCAACCTCCACAGTGAGGCCACAGAGGCCATCCAGGATGCAGCAGTGCAGGCTGGGGGTCTCAAAGTCCCTACTTAAAGAAACCAAAGGCCTTACCGGCTGCTTTCTGCTCCTCTGCCCCATCCTTGGCTCTGAGCCCTCAGATAAATCAACCGTGACAAAACCTCGTGGCAGGAGCAGGTCGGGCTCGTGCCCAAGCCACTGGCAGCCACACTCACATCTTGGCTCATGTGACCAAAAGGGTTACAAGATAAGGCCCAGATAATGCAACACTTCCCTTTGGTGAACTTGAGGCAATAGTGTTCATTGCACCACGCCAGTTGTGGTGTGGAGCCACTGCTGTCTCCACCAGTAGGCAGATGGAGGGGTGACTACTTCCCCAGCAACTTCAGCCCTGGGGCTGCCCCTCTCTTCCCTCTGCTCAGCCCTGGCAGCCACCCAGACGGTCTCACTCCAGTCTAGACTTGAAGGAGACAATTCTCCATCACTCAGCCGCCACATGCAATACTGCGGCGGCAGGGAGGCGTCCTGCGCCACGCGAGTTGGTCAACCTGGAAGAGCTCAGGGGCCACTCAGAGACCATCATCTCCCCCGTACTTGCAAACACACCGAGTCTAGATCAATGCTAAAACTGAGCTTCCTTACCTGTCGCTTCAGCAGCCCCTGGCAGACAAGACACAGCTTCGGTGGCACCCAAACGGTGCTAGAAGAGGATCCTGCAGGGCACTGCCAGCCCTCCGGCAGCGGCTTTCCAAAGCTGTCAGATTCGCAGCGCGCCACCGCTCCCCATACCACCAGCCCCTACATCCTGGGTCACCCTAACCCAGGAGGGATCCTGGGGGCAGGCCCGCAGCTGGTGGGTTACCACCTCCTCCTCCGCCGGCGCCTGATGGTCCTGGGCCTCTCGGGGGGTCCCTCGATCCCTGGAGACCCCTTCGCGTTCAGGAACGTTTCCTGGACAGCCCGCACCACTTGTCCTTCCTGCACTCCAGGCAGCCAATTTGCTTCCTGCACCCCCAGCCGTCCCTCCCCGTCAGGCCCCTGGGGCCCCACGGGCCGAGCCCTCCCCACCAGCTCGAGCCGGTTTCGCCGCGCCGGGGGCGCTCCCAGGACCACCGCCTCCCGTCCCGGGTGGCCGCAACTCTCCCAACTCCGCTCCCCGGAACTTTCGAGCCCCTCCGCGCGCGCGCACGAGCCGTCTCGGGAGTCCGGCAGCGGCTCGGGATGCCGCAGCAGCCCGCGCGGAGGAGTCCCCTCCTCCCCCCGCTCCTGCACCCCGGCGCGGGCCTCGCCCCGCTCCTGCACTGCGGGGCTGCCTCCCCCCTTCTCCTGGTGCTGCCCGCGGGGCCCCAGCCCCTCCTCCTGCGCCACGGGCCACCCGGCCGAGCCCGTCCACCGCGGCGGGCTCCTCCAGTCCGCGCCGTCCGGCGGCCCCCACACCACCCCCAGGCTGGCCTCGTGGCCGCGGCCGCCCCGCTCCTCCACCCCCAGACCCACGCCGCCCTCCTCCTGCACGGCCGGGCCCACGCCGCCCTGCTCCTCCACGCCGAGCTTCAGCCCGCGAAGCTGCTGCGGGCCCCAGCTGAGAACCCCGACGCGCTGCGGCTGCTGCTCCGGCAGCGCGGGGCTCAGCCCGCCGCGCTCCTCCCGCGTCCCCCGCCGGGGGCCCCCCGCGCCCACGGCCCAGCGCCCTCGCCCGCCCCCCAGAGGCCGCGCGCTCCCGCCCCTCCAGATGGTGCTGTCCGCGGCGCCCGCTCACACCGGCCCCCGCCCCGCTCCTTCCGCCTCCGCCCCAGGGGAAGGGGGCGTGGGGTCCCCGCCTCCCCCCTCCCCCCCGGGCCCCCTCCGCTTCCCTCGCCTCCGGCCGCCGACGTCGGCCGCCGGGCGCTCCGCCGCGCCGGCCCCCGCAGGTGCTGCGGCCCCGCGCGCCGGCCGCCAGCCCGCGAGCGCCCGCCCTCTCTGCCGGATTCCCCGAACCCGCGCGCGCCTGCGCCGCCCAAGGGGGCGTGGCCCTGCTGCGTCGCCCCGCCCTCTTAAAGGGCCCGAGCCCATGAAAGCTCTCCAGGGGCTGCCCACCGCCCTGGGCCCCGCCCCTCAGGCAAAAGCAGCAGAAATGAACCAGAAAGTTGAGCAGCGGTCCAGCCGAAATGACGGAAGCAATGGGGAGCGTTGGGAATGAGTCTTCAGTTCTAAGTAGCAATTCGATTGCTGAGAATTAAAAAACAAAACAAAACAAAAAACACTTCCAGCTAGCTTCGGTTGCTTCTGCTCTAAAATGAGGAAAGTAAATAGAAGATTTCCTGTATGTTATCCAGTGAGTTTCCCTGGGAACTCTATATGTAATCCCCATTGCAGTCCGAAGCCTAGGAACCCATGCTTCCATCAGCACTTTTTCCCTTGAGTGAAGGGAGAGTTCCCAAACAAGGGAGAGTTTGTCTAGCTTGCCACACTTTTCACTGGGGACTTAGGCAGAAACCGCCCCAAGCATAGTGAGCCTTCCTCCTTCTTGAACAGACATGGAGGAGAAAACTGAAGAGCTGGAAATCCTGGTGACAGTGCAGCATGCAGTTCCTAGCTCAAGGGGCAGCAGTCTGGGCAATAGGGCTTAGAGCCTTACTGGGCCACTCAAGATTGAGACGATTATCACTTGAACCACAACTCCACTTGTGGTTTTTTGCTGGTTAATCCGAAGTTAAGAATCTCAGTCTTTCTTGTCCTGCTGGCTTTTAGATGTTAACTTTAGATTAAACACACACACACACACACACACACACACACACACACACACACACACACAGAAAGCCCAGGCAGTGGGGCAAGCACAATCTTAGTTACTCAGGAGGCTGAGTTCTAAGGATGGCAGTTAGCTTGTCCAGGAGGGAAAATCAATGATACTTGTTTTGTTTTGTTTTGTTTTTTGTTTTTGTCGGTCGTGGGGCTTGAACTCTGGGCCCAGACGCTGTCCCTCAGCTCTTCAGCTCAAGGCTAGCACTCTACCACTTGAGCCACAGTACTATTTCCAGTTTTCTGAGTGGTTTATTGGAGACCAGAGTCTCATGGTCTTTCCTGCTCGGGCTGGCTTTGAACCACAATCCTCAGACCTCAGCCTCCTGAGTAGCTAGGATTATAGGCATGAGCCACCGGCGCCTGGCCATCAATGATACTCTTATTTCCAATTAACTGCCCTAAGAGCCAGAAGTGGAGCTGTGCCTCAAGTAGTAGAGCACTACCCTGAAACAAATAAGCTCAGGAACAGTGCTCAGGCCCTGAGAGATCAAGCCCCAGGACTGGCACAAGCACATGCATGTATGTATACACACACAGACCCCACAAAAACAATCTCATAACTCTCAGCCTCAGAATGTATACAGCTCCTTTTTATTCTAGTCCTGTTTGATGACTACCACAAAACTTGTATGCTGCTGTGAGGTTTTTAACTTGCAAAAAAGTAATGTTTATCTAAATAATGAGAGGAATGAACCCTGGTGCTGGAAACTCTTGCCTATAATCCTAACTACCCAGGAGGGTAGTTAGTTCAAAGCAACCTGCAAAGATTCTATCGCCAAAATTACCAGCAAAATGCATCCTTAAGCAGAAGAGCACCAGCAGAGCAACCAGGCCAAGAAAACTAACCAAACCCCAGGCCCTGAGTTCCAATTTCAGTTGAGAAAAGAAAAGGGGAAAAAAAAGAAAAGAATTAGAGGAACTAGCCCCAGGTACTCAAAGTCAGTCTCATTCAGGCATTGTAGCCAGAGAGAAAAAAGCAATATGTCTTCTTGCCTGCTTCCCCATTGTACTGTCTTTCCCTCCTCACAGAAGCCCTTTTGAAACCCGACACTGGTGACTCAGGCGTAGCTTTTCAGGAGGCTGAAATCTGAGGCTTGCTGTTCAAAGCCAGCTTGGGCAGAAAAATCCTTGACTCTTATCTCCAATTAACCAGGAAAAAACAAAACAAAACAAAACCCCTGAAAGTGAAGGTATAACATCATCAGCCTTGAGGGGAAAAAGCTAAGTTCAAGAGCCCGCCCTCCCCACAAATACTTTGCATACTTGAATTCCCCAAATTGACCTTTTTTAAGGGAATAATAACTCCCTTTATCTTTTGAAAGTGTTAGTCCTTGAATAAACTTGATTTTCTTTCCCACCTTGTCTCCTGAATACTGACTTTCAATCTAGGAGCAGACAGACTTTGGACCGGTAACCTTTTGTGTAAATACTATGGCTCCAGATAGCTCTGCACTTCCATTGTCCAGCACTAAGACTACAGGCCAAGGCCAAAGGGCAGTGAGACAAATAGGAGATGAGTTCCCAATACCTAGTCTGGGTGAATTGGGTCATGTTGCCTTTCCTGTGAGGTGAGCAGGGCAGCTTGCTACTGAATCATTTGATAATACTAAATGTGGTGAGTTTTCCCTGAGGACCCAAGGATAAGAAGACATCCTACCTCAGTGAGGTTCTTCCCTCTTGTTCCTGAGCCTCACAAAAGAAAGTAGGAGTTCAGCCGGGCGCCAGTGGCTCATGCCTGTAATCCTACTCAGGAGGCTGAGATCTGAGGATCATGGTTCAAAGCCAGCCCGGGCAAGGAAAGTCAGTGAGACTCTTATTTCCAATAAACCACTAGAAAACCAGAAGTGGCGTTGTGGCTCAAGCGGTAGAGCGCTCGCCTTGAGCTGAAGAGCTGAGGGATATATTGCCCAAGCCCAGAGTTCTTACGACCCCACGACCTACCAAAAAAAACCAAAAAACAAAAAATAAAAAGAAGAAAGTAGGAGTTCATCAGATTTAGGGGAAGGAATTAGGAAGTCTCTCCCCAACCTCCCTTACTTTGTGAACCTCAATAATGATAATTGCTAAAATGACAGAGCCTCATTCCTTGACTACTGTCCATGAACATTACATATATTCTTACCCAGCCTGCAGAGCAATTAGGTGCATATTATCATCCCATCTGATAGACATAGAACTGAGTCTCTGGTCAGGAGTGGGGGCATCCAGTCCACTAGCTATTTGTAGAAGGCCCTCAAGTTAGAACCAGGGTTTGAGAACATCTGCTTCTCAGCCATTATAAGGCTCTCAAAATCACTTGGTACTTGATAGGACAGAAAATACCTATGCTGCGATGCACATGCTTGGCTGCCCACAGCTGTCTACCTGCATTGATCATTTTGTATGCCCCCTGAATGATGTTATAAATATCTAAATGACCCTTTAAAAAAAACTTTCTCCATTCTTGCCAGATGATTTAATAACTCTGTCAGGATCCCACAGGCAGTAAAGCTAGAAATAGAATTCAATTTTCTGACTTCATAGTCTGTCTCCTGAAACACTAAATGCAAATGAAACAAGGCCAACCTAGGAGCTCTGCTACAGGAAGCATCAGGACCGACTAGATGTTAATGGTCAGGAGATGCAAACAATTGATTGAGAGCAAATATCTCTTCCAGTAAATCAAGGTCCAAATCAAACAAAGCAAGGGGCCAAAAACAGCTCCATCCCAGAAAGTCCTGTTAGATTGATTCTCTCTTAGAGGAGCCTAGTCTTCTATCCCTACCCTGCCCCCCAAGTCTTCCTTTTCCTTGTCTCCCACAACAATCAGATCCATGCCATTTACAAACCTGAGGTGCAAGGTTATCAGGAGCTTCAGACTCAAGAGAAGTGGGAGGTCTTTTTCCTTTCTCTTCCTCCATTCTGCCCTTTCTTTCACCAGCTCCATGGTATTATCGCACACTGGGGCTGCACCAGCTGATGTCTCTAGGCTGTCTCTATCTCCTCATTGTTGTGTACTGACACCAAGAGAGATTGCTTTGCATCATGGGGAAAATGAGCCTCAGACAAAAGCAGGAGGCTCCAGATTTCAGAAGTGGCTACAATGGTTAACCCAGTAATGTTCCTCTTCTCGGATCTGGACCTTTAGGAGAGCTGCCCACAGAAGACAGGCTACAAGAGAGGACTTGTGGAAAAAAAGAACACAAAACAAAAACCCAGAACCCAAAACAACCCTCAGGGGTTGGCAGCATGGCTCAGGTGAATAGGGTGCCTGCCAAAAAGCTCAGATAGCAAGTTCAAGTCCAATCTGGAACAAAAACAAATAAGAGGACTTGTTAATCCTAGTTCTAAGCAAAGAGAGAGGCTTTGGTGAAGAAGCTCCATGGAAAGATGATTGCCCTGCTAGGTAAGCAAGAAGGCAAGGCAGGTACTGCTTGCATAATGGGTAACCTGGCTCACATCATTGAGCA